CTGGCACATGGTTAAGCACTCAATAAGATAAGAAGACACAGTTGCACTCTTTCTAAATTAAAATAGTATTAAAGTTTTCTTTGTGGCTAATACATGGTCATTTTTATAAAGTTTTCATAGCACTATTTGGTTTCTGTTTGAAGGACACTAATTACTAATGTAAAATAGCTCTCTACAAATGAGAATGCAATTGCTATTTAAACAAAAGTTACATAAGACAAAATTATTGATGTGCTAACAAAAACAATGAGTAAAAGAAAATCAACATTTGCTAATTTCTTATCTTTTATAAGAGTCCTTATATGTCTATATGTGTCATTTCATTTCCATTTCTCAAATAAAGTGAAAATATTTAAATTAATGGAGATAATTACTGGAGTAGACCTAAGAATATGCTACAGTATATACTTTTCAAATGACTAAGATATGATGGAGGGGTTGGGAAGGGGCACAAAGGAAACAGATATCATATATCAACAAAAGGAAACAGAACACAGCAAAAGAGCCAAAAATAAGATCATACTTAAATAAACACTAATACAAGTGAATTCAGTTCAAACATCTATCACATAAATGAAGGTGAGTAAAAACTACTTTTAAAGAGAAACTGACTCCTACATTGAGAAAAGGTAAAAGAAACAAACCCCAATCATATCCTTATATAAGATATTATCTAAAACAATGCAATTCATAACTTGAATATAAAAAAGTAGGCAAAGGAAAACCAGAAGTACACAAATAAAAAGAGAAGAAACTGAGCAATATCAATGTTGGGCAAAAGTGAACACAATATAACAGAACATTAAACAAAACAGTTGCTCTTTTTTTGATGAATGAATCATCAGGTAAGTTTCTTAGAGAGAACACATGGGTGATATATTTTAGGATTCCTTGCATATTTAAATTTATTTTAGGTTACCTTCACACATGAATGAAAACATGGCTGATGTGACTATTGGGGTTGTTTTAGTTCATCCTTATGACTCTTTATGTACTGCCTTGTTGACTACTGGTATCTAATGTCCCCCAGAGAATATTGAAGGAAGCTTGATTATTTTTCCTAACACTTAGGAATGACCTGTTTCTTCTGCTTAGATACCGAATGTTTACAGAATAATTTTGCTGTTCACTTGAATTATATACCTGGAATACTTTATTGCTTTTAATTCTTGTGAAAACTATGATATCTGAGGTTCACTGCAACTCATTCAAAGTGACCAGCTCAAGTCTTAGTGATGGGGAAGGCCAGCTCCATAGCACTTTTGATAAACTGCCCCTAAAGTGTTCCATTTAAACAGCACTTTCTTAGACAAATCCCAAGAAATCTGCGAAAACTCTGATATAAAGATCTTCTTGACATTGCATTTTATCAGTCCATAATATAAAGCTTATATCAATATACCATGATTAGACTTAGGGCATATCATCCCCAAAGCAAGTTCTTATCTACCAATTAGTTCTTCCATAAAATTTTTCTCACTCTTTTTTAAATATTATGATGTATTCAACATACAGAAAATTACAGTATAAAATAGCAAATACCCATGTAAACCACACTCAGAATTAACAAAATGCTAACATTTTGCTACCTTCATTTTAGATGTCTTTTTAATCATTATGAAGAAACTAATCATCCATACATTAAGTCCCCTTATACCTTCCTGGTTTCATTCTGCTCCTTCTCTTCCCAGAAACAACCACCATCCAATTCTTCCATGTTTCTATACTTTATTACATACATGTATGCCCATATTAAATTTGCATTGTGTAGGATTTTTATCAATATACATATATAGTCTCATGTTTTATTTTCTATGTACAACATTCTATTTTTGAAATTATCACTCAGAAAACTTTCTGAGTATCTGAAAAGAATGTGGGTTCTCTATTTGTTATGGTCAGAACATTGTATGTGTCAGATCTCACACATATCTGTTAGATCAAGCTTGTTAACTGAATTGTTCAAACCTTCTATATCCTTCAGAATATTTTTTGTCTACTTGATTTATTGGTTACTAAAAAAAGCATGTGCAAATCTCCTACCATAACTATGAATTAGTGAAATCTTCTTTATAAATGTCAAGTTTTTGCATTAAATTTATTTTTACAAAAGTTTTTTCCTGTATTAAGGACTTTAAAGATCTATTCTCTTAGCAATTTTCAGATATACACATAATATGGTTAATTGTAGTCATCATGCTGTATACTACATACCCAGGAGTTATTTATTTATCTTATAACTGGAAGTTTGTATCTTTTGACCATCTTCACTTTTTAAATACTTAATATTTAAGTATTAAAATATGCTTCAAGTATTTTGAGGCCATGATACATAAAAGTTAATTTAATTACTTCTTCTTGGAATATTCCTTTTATCTCCATATCATATCCTTTTCACCCATTAATGTATTGCATGTTAAATAACTTCTTGTTTATTAATAAACAAGCATTTCTTCAGCTGGTATTTCCTGGTACATATTTTTCCAAAAATGTATTTTACCTTTCAGGGTCATTTTATACCATCTTCTTTTGTGTTTTCTTTTTGTAATGATTTTTCTTTTTGCTTCAGTTGCTTCATTCTTTTTCTGTCTCTGTATTGAATTAGTTGACATCTTTTTTCCCCTTTATTTCCCTCTACTGATTAGAAATAGTTTTAGAATGGTTTTGTTTTTATTTGTCCATCTAAAGACTGAGACAGCTCTTTCCATCTGATAATCCATGTTTTCAAAGATTGCCTAAAATTCTGGACCATCAAATTTGTTTTCAAACATTGTTTCTCCCAGTTCTCTATCCTTTTAGAACTAGCATAGAGACCTTTTCATTCCATATTTCCATGTCTTAATTTCTTCTTCATATTTTCCATCTCTTCACTTCTCTGTGTTGTATTCTAAATATCTGCCTCTATTCAACTATATCCGGTCTTTTCTTTGTCATATGTACTGATTTTAATTTTAAAATCATTTTTTTCATTTCTGGGATTTATATTTCAGTATTTTTTAATTTCCTTATTCTTTGTCCATAATGTCCTGATTTTGTCTAATAGTTTAAATTGCTTCCTTTTTCTCTCTATTATATAGAAAATAATCCTTTGGTCATTTCCTGCAGATTGTTCTTGGCATGCTAATAAAGCCATTTTGTGCGTCTACTCACTCTGCTCATTTCTTCCTGTTATGTACACTTATTTACTGTGCCATACTTCTTTGTGGCGTTGTTTCCTAGGAAGTCTACATGTATTAGGTTGTAGAAGTCTCCACAGGATGATTTTTCATATGCCTCTTCTAAAGCTTCAGGAATTTCATCAGTTTGAGACTCACGTGAACTTATTTTTGGACTGATAATTGCTAAAATACATGAGAAGTGTCAATTCAAACTCTACACTCAAGTCTGGCAGTTTAGAGTTGGAGTTCTGATTTTTCATGGATGTTTCTCTTCCTGCCACACCACTGGGGCACTTCATTGTCTGAGCAGTTTTTCCAGCCTATTTCAAGGACCAGACAACACTTAATGGTTCTGAGCTTTACGTAAGGAGTTGGGTTCTAAGCTTTATGTAAGGAGTTGTCTTCCAGCACATGCTTAGGTTTCAGCCCTGATTTGAGTCCAGGTCTTGGGACCTTACCCACTGTAGCACATGTTCAATTCTAATACTATTCAGCTTTAGCTTCCCACATTTTTTACTGTGGCTTTACAATCCTTCTTTATTTCTAGCTCCTAGGGCCTTTTCTTGTTGTTGACAAGAATGGACATATATTTTTGAAAGTTTGTTGTTAACTTTATCAACATGTGTTTTTAGGTAGAAATAGGATTTTCTACATTAGTTTAGCACACCATGTTGGCAAGAAATCATATACCATACTTTGCCCTTAAAATTCAGTAACTTCCCTAAATTGTATCTTGATGTGATTATCCTCTTAGTTTTCCTAAGACCTAATTATCTTTATGGGTTTGCTTTAGTTTAGTAAATGCTCTGCTGTGAACTTGAATTCACTCCTTACGCATTTTATTTGTTATAATTTATATATATAAAACATACACTTGGGTTTTTTTAAAATTTTTCCTATGCATCATCACCTTTCAGATGACAATCACCTCTTTATTTATGAGACTTTTTCCAGCCTTCCCCCAGTAACCTTGAATTAATTTCCTGCTGTGTCAGTTTTACCTCTAAGGCAGGTAAGACAATTGTGTAAACATACTGAAGCATTCAACTAGTTAAGAGGTCAAAACTCCCCAAATTGGTCTAAAAATTCCATGAAATCAATCAAAATCCTAGTCAGCTTTTCTATGAAGCTTAAAAAGCTGATTCTAAAATTCATATGGTTATATAATGAACCTAAAGAATGCAAGAAATTATGGAGAACAAAGCTGTAGGATTTACAGTATCACATTTAAGATTTACTAAAAAGATAGAGTAAATAAGACAGTTTGACATTAATGCAAGAGAAAATAAACAGATCAAGAGAAAAGAATAGAGAGTCCATAAAAAAACACAAATATAATCAATAGTTTTGACCAATATAATTCAATGGGAAGGGGAGGGTCTTTTCAATAAATTATTCTGAAACATCTACCTATCTGAGAGAACCTTGACACTTAGCTAGTGTTATATACAAAAATTAATTTGTGGTGCATCATGACTTTGGTGTGCAAACTAAAATCTAAAGCATTTAAGAGAACATTTTCAACTTAACATGGGTTATGATTCATTGGGTAGGACACAAAAAGCACTAACCATAAAATAAAAAAGTTAAATTGGACTTCATTAAAATGAAAATTATTCCAAAAAAGATACCATTAAGGATAAGCCAAGCCACAGGTTGGGAAAGAAAGAGTCTCTATGCATTTATCTGTCGAAGAATTCGTATTTAGATATACAAAGACCTAATGTACAGTAAGAGAAAAAAATGCCCAATTTTAAAATGAGCAGAAGAACTAGACACCATGTAAAAGAAGATATATAAATGGCCAAGAAACAAGAAAAGGTGCTTAGCATCATTACTCACACTCCCTGTAGTCAGAAATCTGTGAAGCAAATCTCATGCCATAGTTCACCACGTATGCCATGTCCACAGGCCTTTCTTCCTGAAGAGAAATACAAAAATGGAAGGTCAGTGGAATGAACCACAGCCACATCACATAATCTCAGGGCCATATTGTTACACATGTGTTCCTTTCTCCAGTATCCATTCTAAGTTCCCCTTACCCTTAGCTATCACCTCAGTTGGCCTAAGTGGTGGTATGAGTCAAACCTTCAAAAGATACCATTAAGAAATGATAAGAGAAGCCACAGAGTGTGAGATGATATTCTCAACTCATAATACTGATAAAGGCTTGTATCCAGAATATATAAAGAAATTCTACAAACCAATAAGAAAAAGACAGATAACCTAATAATAAAATGAGTAACAGGCTTTAATCAAATAACCTTATTTTAAAGAGGATACCAAGGCCAAAAAACATATGAAAAAGTGATCCACTTCTTTAGTCATTAGAGAAATTTAAATGAAACCTACTGTGAGATTCTACTACCCACAATGCAGAATGACCAAATTGAAAATAAAAGACATTGTCAAGGATTAATGAGGATGCAGAGTAACTAGAACTCTCCTACATTGTTGGTAGGAGTATAAATTGATACAGCTACTTTGGAAAACTCTTTGGCAAAAGCTACTGATTCATACCCAGAAATTCTACTTCCAGGTATATATTCAACAGAAATGCATACATATGTTTCCTAAAACACATCATAGCAGGACTAATTGTAATAGCCAAAAACTGTAATCCACCCAAATATCCATTATGGTAGAATGGATAAATAAGTTGTAATATGTTCATTGCTGTTTCAGTTGTCTGTTGTTGTATAACAAACTACCCTAAAACTTAGTAGCTTAAAATCACAATTTATTATTTTTGAAAACTGTATAGTTTGGCTCAGAGTTCTTCTATTGGTCTTGTTTGGATTCATTCATGTGGTTACTGATGTCTCCCTGCATCTGCAGGTCCAAGATGGCCTCGGGAAAATGGTTCTGGCTCTCACTGGGAAAACTTACCCTGAAGAGTCTTTCATCTTCAGTGGGCTACATTAGGATTCTTCACAGGATGGTAATGAAAGAATATAAGAAGGCAAGAGAGAAAACTGCAGGTAGTTTTAGAGCTAAGCTCTAGAACTTGTATATCATTTCCACCACAATCTATGTACAGCACTTATAAGGCCAGCTGAGATTTAAGACACTGAAAAAACAGTCTGTCTTTAGACAGGAGGAGGAACATCAGCCCATTGCAGAGGAGCACACACACAGAAAAGCATCTTTTACTGGGAGCCATCTTTACAGAATCTACCACAGTCAATTTATATATAGCAATGACAATGAATGAATTACTACTACAAACAACAGGGATGAGCCTCACAAACTTTATGCTGAGTGAAAGCAAGTCTCAAAAGAATATATTCATCACATTCCATTTATATAAAATATAAAAACCTACAAAACTAATACATTGTGTTAGAGGTCAAGGAAAAGTCCAAAGAACACTTCTACAGTGCTATTAATGTTTTATTCTTTGACCCAAGCAGTGGTTACATGGGAATTTTTATGTTGTGATCATTTATAATTTGTTCTTTTGATTTATGCTATTTTCTATATGTTTGCTATGCTTTAATAGAAAATTTTTAAGCCACAATAAAAACAAAAGAATTTAAAAATAATGCATGCAAATTCTCCTTAATTCAATCCCTATTTACCTGGGCAGTATTTGTTGCCTTTCCTAGAATATGCACTAATGGATTACTCAATCCACGGCTACAGGAGTGAAAAAGATAGTAAATCTGTGTCAGTCACTGCTGGGGAACTTTGTTTCTTTTTCCTTCTCTCAATTTTTTTTTAAATTCCTACATCAAGGGTTAGTTCACTGGTTACTTTTGTTTAATGTGGTAAATAATTTCCTCTGTTCATATTTCTGTTCACAACTGGCAGTTATTCCTAGGAGATTATTTCTTGTGTCTCCCTGTTTTATCTACTGCAAGGTAGCATTCCAGCCCAGCCTTCAGTCTTGTTTATCTATGAAAATGAGGAGCATTTTTCATATTTTTCCTAGCCAGCCATGTCCTTTAAATGGGGGATATGAATAGGATTTTCTAGAGGCTCCTCCACCTAACTTGCTGCCTTAGTAAGCTACTCTTCCCAGAGATGGGTACTCTTGCCTTTTTTCACAATTGGTTCAAATCATTTTGTATATAAGTGATATTATGTAGTGGTTAACAATGTAGACTGTAGGACCTAAATGGCTGAGTTCATACCCTGGCCTTGACATGGGGCAGATTACTTTCATCTCTGGGCCTCAATTTCCACATTTGTAAACTAGAGATAGATAACAATAGGCCCTACATCTCGGGGCTGTAGCGAGGTTTAAATAACCTTGTAAATTAAGAAAGTGCTTAGCCCAGTAAGTGTTCAATAAATGTTAATTCTTATTATTATTGAGACATAGCTATAGATGTTTGGTGGAGGATGTTGACATATTTCCATAATTATTACACTGGTGATTTTACAGTCTTTGATATTTTAGTTCTCTTTAATAATTTGTGTTAGTTTTGTAAAACTGGACTTATACTATCATATGGGAGAGAAGGGGTTATCTGCTGCCCTCTATTCTTAAAATGAAACACCAGATTTTAAGAAAAAGATTTCATTGTTTAGCTAGCATTATTGGGTAGTATGAGGATGGCAGGAAAATGCATTAGGGACATATGATAATTGATGAAGAGGTATTTGAATTTTTCCCATTCACTCCATTCTGAACTAATCATCTACATTTAAAAGCTGAAGTTTCTCCAGAGATAGCTCTTTGTCCCCAGTCCTTCCAGGTACATTTCTCAGTTATTGCATAGGCTAAATGCAGGAGTGGAGGTAGAGGCATAAGGTGATCAACCAGGAATCAGTCCTGAAATCATCCTTCTAACTCCTCTTCTTATTCCTCAGGTAACTGCATATGCCTTTAATTGTTATTTTACATTTCCTGAAATGGGGATACAGGAGAAAGAGGTTTTTAGAAAAGGCATCATTATAAATATGAGTTAAAGATAAGTTGGCCCTATATTCCTTGGGTTCCTCTAAAGCTCTTCCCTTCCCTCCCATCCACTACAATTTCAAACTCCCTAAACCACCACTCTATGTACGGTGCAAAACCCTGGAAGTTTCTCTGGTAACAGGAATTTGGCCTGGAGGGTTGTTGTTCTTTAACTTTTGATTGGGTTTATTAAACTATGACTCAAAAATGAAACCTGGTGTACAAGACATTCTGTAACATGTGAAGAATAAGAAGGTATCTCACACAGCTCAGGTGAAGCTTACAGATACTGTATTCCATGATTCGGATTCAGTATCATCATGGATTATTCATCAGGCAAGGTAGAAAGTTTAATTATAAAGACCATATAATCAGTATACAGCTGCATGTTAATCAATTCAGATTTTAGCTGTTGTGTGTGATTTAGAAAGAAAAAATGATTGATTTATAAAAGAGTGAGCTGAATTTATCATTTAGTCAACTATACTGTTAAATAGGCTTCTCTCCTCAAAAATTATCTCAGTTTGTCCTGGCTTAATAGATTATAATGAATATATACTCTCTTACTTTAGAGAATTGTCCCATTTGGGGAGAAATAAATGCATTAGGGCAGTGATTGTTAACCTTAGATACAAACTGAAATCACTCAGG